ATGCTGTAATTTACATAAACAGGCCAAGCCCCTGTGCTCTGACGAGTGAATTGACAGATGGGCAGGTGGACACACCTTCTGAGCAGCAAGGCAGAATATCAGCCACCTCCGCTACACGAGAACTGGATGAGCTCATGGCCTGCCTGTCAGATTTTAAGGTGCAGAGCAATGTGAGTGTGTGTATGTGTGTGTATGTGACACTTACAGGACGGTGTAAGTGAGTTGAAGAGACGTTGTGTCTGGGAATGTGTGCTGAACTATGTTGTTTGGGTGATCTATTTTCAGGACTTACTGCTTGACAATCTGGGCTTGCGTTTCCCAAAAACGTTGTAAGTAGATCGTTGAGACCATTGGTGCCAATGGTGTCTACAATCTTCTTGGGCTTACGGCGCTGTTGGGAAACACTACCCTGGCTGGTCTTCATCTGACCATCACAACCAGTTTATTTATGTGCAAATCTTTTCCTGCTTGTCTATGAATTCTAGCTTTAATTTCATCTCATTACTTCAACATTGCATCCAGAATCTGTTTTGTTTTTTCCTCAGCTGTTTTGTATATCTCATTAAAGCTTTTTCTTAATTATTTCTCATTCTCTGCCTTCCTTAATCTGTCACTCTCTTCTGTTTCTCCTCTTTCTTCCCCTGTCCCTCCTTTATGTCCTCCAGCCAAGTTCTTTGGGCTCCCTGAACTCTGAGCCAATGTTTGAGCAAACTACTACCATTGCTGAAATCCACCCTCCTCCTACGACTGCCGTGTCCAAATCCCTGTCCCCTACCCTCCCAGTGGAACCAAGACGATATTCCCCAGGTCTCTCCTCTCCTTTAAACTTTGAACTGCACATTGTGGAGTTTGAACCGGGGGCTGTGCCTCCACCGTCCAGTGTTGTCCCAAAGCCTTCCTCTCGACTGTCTCCACCTGTAGCATCCAGTCCTCGTTTTTCTCCAGTACCTGACCTGGGCTTGGATTCTTCCATTGATGTCTCTGCTTCCCTGCTGTCCTCCCAGGTGGGATCTCTAGTGGTTCTGTCTCAGACTATAACCACCACTACCACACCTGGAAGTGGAGACCTTTGTAGTTTCTGGGAGGGAAGTCCTTCTGCCAAATTGACAAGCTCTGGGCTGAAGGCCTATTCGCCTATCACCAAGTCTCCTAGTCCAACAAGTGCCCCAGTGGTCAGCAGAACCAATGAAAGAGTTAGCCCATTGATGACACCAGCATCAGTTTATCTGTATCTCTCCAACTCTGAAGCAAAACCTATAAGTCCAATGCCATCTCTTTCCAGATCTCAACTTCCTACAGTCTATGAATCACCATTTCTGTCTCTTCCCAAAGCTGTATCACCCCCTCTATTCCTATCCTCTTCCTCGTCTGTAGTGGTTCCCAAGTCTCCAAGCCCAAAACCATTATCAGGACAGCCTCCCGCTGGCCTTCAACCACCAACCTATGAGCCATCTCTTGATGATGCCTTGGATAAACTCCTTGCCATGAGCTTCAGCAGGCTTGAGAACGAGGCTCTAATCACCACATCAGCGGCCTCACGGCTCGCTTCGGAAGTACAACCAGAAGTCTACGAGGAGACAATAGTAGCAGCGGATCGCAGCAACATTCATCCTGACACTCATACAGAGAGCGAAATGGGGGACGGGTTCTTGGAGGATCAGTCGGACTGCAGGAGTGATCTTGACTGGGCTGACATGGAACTGAAGATGGCCTACGAAGGACCTGATGGCTCCATGACCCCAATGACCGAGGCAAGTTGGATGGATGGCTCTCTTACTCCATCGTCTTGCCCTGGAACCCCAGATGCCCAGATGGACCTTCCCATGCTGCATACGGCTGGCACAATGGACAGGATCTCAGCCTCTGGACACGTACGGATAGGACTGCAATGCTTGTTGATTGGAATGCTGTGGAATTTGTTTTGGAGCTTTTACAGACAAGTCTTGCAGTGGTTTGATTGCCAGCATGTAAATCAGGGGTGTCAAATCCTGCTCCTGGGGGGCCACCTTCCTGCAGAGTTTAGCTTGAACCAGCTAATCAAGGTCTTCAGCGTTACTACAAACTTCCAGGCAAGTGTATTGGAGCTACAATGTGCAGGAAAGTAGCCATCCAGATACAAGATTGAACAAGCCTGATGTAATTGAAACCTGTTAGTCTGATGGATAAAAGTCATAATTGTTGCTCTATACCCTGAAATACTGAGTTATCCTTACTCTAATTATTTAGTTTTCACTCCATTTATGGTAAATTGTAATTGTAAGAACTTGAATGTTGCTGTGTGTGCGCTTGATAACCAGTGGTACCAATGGTACCTCTGTGCACTTGATAACAAATAGTAACTTGATAACCAGTGCTAACCACCACCATGTATGCAAATGCCCAACTTTTTCATGCTAAATGATTTTGCACCTGGATTGCATCTGAATGCTTCCCTAGATCCCTGCTTGCCTTTATTAGTTTCTTTGGACAATAATCAATAATTCTTGAGTCATGTGGCATCTCAAGGAGTTTGTACTGCTGTCCCAGATCAAATCTGTGATAAGACGTACCAAGGAGATTCAAAACGTCCATCCCATGTACCGAGACGGCCTGATACGTAGGAAGATGGGCCCCCTCATTTTCCACAAGAGTAACTCCCAGGACCGGCTCATTGAGGAACTGCAAGGCAAGCTGGGAATTGCCCATAAGGATTGTCCAAAAAAGCAACAGCCGGATGACTGGCTCACAGAAGGCGTCGTTGTCATGTCCAACCCCAAACGCTCACGGGAAGACCACAACAGGGAGGTGGATAAGGTAGACGGGAAGGATCTACGGATTCAGCACATTCTGTTTCCACTCCATTCAATTCCTGTAAAATTATTTTGCTTAATTGCATTGACGTTTCTCTGTAATCACCAGCTTTTTTCTTCTTCATTCCTGCTTTCCATCTCTTTCTCTCTCTTCTTCTTTCTTATCGGTGTCTTCCTCTAGATAATCATACCTCCTGAGTCTCCTCTTCCTCAGAGGAAGGTGATCCCACCTCTCCAGTCTCCCCCGATCCCTCGCCCCCCTCCCCCTGCTGAAGAACCAAAGCGCCCCCCTCCGGTCAAATTAACTCCTGCCCCTATGCCTCCACCCCCACCACCTGCCCCCTCCTCACCTCCTAGAGAGCCCACCC